GAGGAAGAGAGAATGTCCTAGCAGAAGCCCAGAAGGTAAAGGAGAGTGTAACAGAGTTAGTGAGAGCAAGAGAGTGAGGGAGATTGACCTGAGATCTCTTACACATGGGGATGTCCATGTAGTTTTGCCCCCCCTTCCCCCCAGCTTTTCTACCACCAGATCTCCCCACACGAAATCCTCCCAATTATTCAGCAAAATTCTGAAGCTCTGATTTGCCCACAATGCTTTAAAACTGGACAATGACATGCAGATCGGTTTTCTTTTGTTTTCTCCCACCTTTGGGATTTGGAACAGCTTCCAGAGTTGCAAAAACCTGCTATGTTGCAAAAATATTCTGGGGACTCTTACTGCCTGCTCCCTGGTCCTGGGCTGCTGAGCACAGAGCTGTAGCATTGGAGGGTGGCAGAGACCACTCTGAGATATGGACGTTGCCAGCTGCCCTATTAGAGTGCCTCTTGCAGCAGTTGCCAGAGCACACAAAGCATTCTGGGAATTTGCAGTTCTGTCATTTCCCTCAAACAGCTCCTTAGAAGGCAACAGGCAGTGAACATGGATCACGCTTAGCCACAAAAGTCCAAAAGGATGATAGCTGCTGTTGTCAATTACTGGTGCTTCCACGGGGCTGTATTTTTATAAGTATATTTGCATGGCTAGGAAGCATCTGCTGACAAGGATGAGATGATAAGCTGTAGTGGTGCCAAAACAGGACTGGAAAAACAGTCTCATTCTGAGAACGGCCTGCATCCTGAGAGTCCATGTTAAGAAATTTCTCTCTCCACAGGCGATGTCTGCTCTTAAAACATTAACATGTGAAAGGAAACAAGACTCGGAACCCCTATCACACAACACTGTCATGCACATAACAGGTTCTCAATAAATGCGTGCTGGATGGAGACACCAAGATATGCACATACACTGAGGAGGACAGAGGACTGGCAGCCCAAGGGAAAATTTTACTCCCTGGAGTGTGAGTGCCAAGTGTTTTACCTCAACTGGCAAGAGCATTGTGCAATGCTGGCCCTCAGGACTACTGAAGCTCTAGCACCATGTGCTGGAATGCTGCTCACCCAATAAGAGAGGCAATGCAAAAGTGTCACCTTCCAAGGCACATCCAAGCTGTTTGATCCTCTGTTCCGTGGTTTCTTTGAACAAGAAAGGTCTTATTGGTGAATGAGGCCGGCATCCTGGGTGGTAACAGGAAAGGAAATTGGTTAAAAGTGCATTATCCAAGTTGGACGAGCTCAGCTCTGTGGCCTGGGTGGGTTCCCAGCATATCCTGCCAGCGGTGGGGCTCTTGGAGATGGGAGGCTAGAATGTGGGTAATGACATTGTGGGTGGATGGGGAGCTGCAGAGCCAATGGAGTGCTGGGCCCAGGCTGCCCAACCCTAACCCCAACCCAGCAGTGCACACCTCCTTGTCATCTGCTACGTCCAGGCCAGCTCTGTGGCCACTGGGCATGCACCCATTTCTCTGGTGAACGCATTTTTTCTCTATCAACAGGAATCAGCAGCTGCTTTCTGATCCTACTGTCTGTGCCTGTCTTACTCATTTCATCCTCTGTTTGGCTTTGGATCAATACACCCCATGGGGTACCCAAAGCTGCATTATTCTGGTTAAGTGCATGTACAGCAAGATTATGACCATTCTGGTTTTGTGCTGATTAATCACTGGGTGTGTGAGTGCTGCAGATCCTCCTTGTCGGGGTGGAGTGTCAACTTTCTGGCCCAGGACACTGACAGTTGTGAACTTGAAGCGCTTTCTTCGCTATCTTTTTCCCTTGAGTCATTCTCATTTTTGATCAAACTGCCATAGACAGAAAAACTCTAAACCCTAGCCATGTACATTCTGGGTTGTTACAACTCTGCTTACTATGAGAGCCCCTATATAGGCATTTTTTTTTCTATTTCCAATCCACTGGCTGCTATGTCAACATACCTGACCACCATCTTACCAGTATGAAATCAGGACACTGATAAACTTGGGAGCCTTTAACTTGAAGGTGCCAATGAGGATGACAGGAAGGGTGGAGATGGTCCAGGCTCAATAGAGTAAAAAAAAAAAGAAAGAAAGAAAGAAAGAAATGCTAAACATACATAATCTGGAAGGCAAATACTGTCCAGTGCTTCCTGTAAGACTCTCTATGATTAGGCAGGATGAAGTTTATCTCTGGAGGGTCTACATGATAGAAAATCTGTCCTTGTGTCCCAAGACAAACCTACTCCACCCCACCCTCCTCTGCTCTTAGTACTTCTCACCTCACAGTCATACACCTTCATCCAGTCCTCATGCTGAACTCACAGCTTTCTGTAATAGCCAAGACTCTTACAGCTTCAAGTGACAGAAGCTCGACTCACACAACCTTGAGAAAAGGGGAATTTGTTCATTCATGTGTTAGGAAGAATGTTATTAAGATGAAAGGTCAAAGGAAAAGATCATAAGAACTAGGATCTTGTGACTGGCATGGAAATCTCTCTTTCTCTCTCCCTTCCTTTTTTCTTTCTCTTCTAACACTTTACTACCACCACTGCATGTATATTTTCTAAGGTTTTTCATTTCTTTTTTCCAACAGGGTAATTAGGCAGGATGGAGCTTATTTCTGGAGGGAAGGGAGATGGGAGGCACCCCAACATGGTCTTCATGTAATCATACACTCCTGTCTCAGTCCATCCTGTCACAGGCATGTATGAGCATAGTCTACTCAGTGAGGCCCCAGGACGTGAACCCAGGACCTTTGCATATGGGTCCAGTTGCTTAACTGCTGTGCCACCTCCTGGCCTCTACTCTGTTTGTTCTTGTAGTGCTCATTTCTGCACATAGGAGTTCTGTGTGCTTGAAAGAGGGCCATTAAGGGCCCATATTCCTGTCCTCCCAGCTTAGCAATCCTAGAGGAAAGAATTCTTTCTCACAACAGCCTCCAGGTATAATTGTAGAGAAAGGCTCTGGTTGTTTAGCTCAAGACTAACGCTGTCCAAAAAGAAAAGACCATGATGGTCTCAGTTTTGATGCTGAGTCAACCCATGGCCCAGAGAGCAGGATCTAATACCAGAAGAAGTCAACGGAGGAAATGTCTACTCTGCTATGAAACCAGAAATTTTTCCAAGGCTTTCCTTACCCACTCATACCATAAGCCACTCAGCTGAGGCTAGAAAGTATGCTGGCCCCAAACCTGCCCTAAAACACAGAAGTAAATAAAATCTTACCTGGTAAACTTTCTTTCTGATCACTTGGCCAATCGCTCAGCAATCTCACTGTGAGTCTCACTAGGAGGTTCACAAGCCTCCTGAGAGTCTCCATATATCATTGTCAGATGGTGTGAGCAGGTGAGTTGGGTCTGAACTCTGCTGCGTGCTATCTGAGCCAGCTGAGCAGGTAGGTCCATGAGTGCTTCTGCCCTTTACTTTTTTTTTTTTTTTTTGAGAGATTTTCACTGTAGGGTGCGTGCGCTCGCCAGACAGACAGAGAGAGACAGAAAGCGAGAAATCACCCCCGATGGTCACGCCGCAATCCCTTCTCCTCCATTCTCCTCTCAGGATCTTGGGCACGCACGCACACGCGCCCGGCGTGAGTTTTAAGCCACCGGGTCCGGGACACGAACTGCGGTCGACTACGTGGGAGTCCAGCAACATAGCCATTATGCTAACTGCTGGTTCCCTGCCCTTTGCTTTTTTGATGTGAAAGGGAACCACAGTGGCTCCTTCCCAGGGTGGTCATTAGCATTAATGGTCAGATTGTGTTGGATCAGACCTACCTGAGGAGTGATGACCCACTCCTGGGGATCTTGGCCCATGCATAGGAAGCCACAGAGATTTCTCGGTACTCACAGCCATGCATACTCATTGGGGATTTGCATACACAGCTGCTTGCTCCAGATGGGTACAGAACAATGCAGTGCTGCTGTGCAGGTGAAGGGCCCTGGCTCATTATTATGCTCCAGGACCACTCCCAGCCTCTCAGACCTCATCTTCTTGCATTTCTCTCTCTCTCTCTGCACATTCAGGGGTGTATACATTTCTGTCCAGCACCCTGAAGTCTCTGGAAGAGAAGGATCACATCCACCGAGTCCTGGACAAGATTACTGACACCTTGATCCACTTGATGGCCAAGGCGGGGCTGACCCTGCAGCAGCAGCACCGGCGCCTGGCCCAGCTTCTGCTCATCCTCTCCCATATTCGGCACATGAGGTGAGGTGGTCATAGATCCCCTGGAAATATTAAAAGCACGCTCTAGACCTGTGTGACAGCTGGTCCAGGAAGAGCTGATGCCTGGACAGGAATAGCACACTTGCAACAATTCCTGCACTTAATAAACCTAAGAGGGAGGACAGAAGAGGAAGCATCAGATCTGCCTGGGGCATGGGGCAGGAGGTATAGAAGGATTCATAGAGGAAATGCTGTTTCCACTTGAATTGAAGCATGTGCTTAGGGGGAAGTGAAGGAGGGGGAATGTGCAGATTAGAGGAGGAAGCAAATCAAGGGAAGTCTTCTGGAGGTCCTGGGCCCATACATGACCATCCTGCATCCTACCTTCTCTGCTTACACTTGGAAATCCTAAATGAGAATCTCTCGGGCAGGTGCATCATGGAGAGTCAGTGTTAACTCCCACATATCTCTCAAAGTCCTTCTCCCCCACCACCACTGTGCTGTTACTCTGGTCCAAACCACCATTAGTTACAGTTGGATTTCTGCACCATCTACCCAAACATGTCCCTCTGCCATTGACCCAGACCCTTTCTAATCCATTCTTCATGAAATAGCCAGAGTGATCATTCTAAGACTAAAGCTCTGTCCCATCATTTCCCTGTTTGAAAGCCTTATATGACTTCCCATTGCTTTCAGATTAAAGTATATATCCTTTTGTTTTGTTTACATTACTCCTTATGATTCAACCCCTACTTAGTTTACATGACTTCCTCATAGTCTCAGCTCCTGCCATAGTAAACTGTCCTGTGAGTCATCTAGGAGGCTCCTTAGGCAGCTCTGTTTCTCAACTCAGCTCATGTGAAGGGCAGCTGATCAAGGCTTGGCACAGATGGGAGACTGCTTTAAGTTGCAACCCTGCAGGTCAGCCAAGACACATACCTCTGTTCTGTGTGTCTCTTGTCTCTTATCCTCCTTGCACCCACATGTGGGCCAAGACATATTTTCATAGTGATGGCAGAGGCACAAGAAAGCAAGCTCATTTGGACAAGTACATTTTAATCTTTTGGTTAAGTCAAATCTGCTAGTATTCCATTAGCCAAGCAAGTTACAGGGTAGAGCTCAAAGTCAAGGACCATGGGCACATGGCAAGGGGAGAAAATGTTTCTGAATGGTAAGGTAACCCACCATAGCTTAGATATCATACCTTGCATGAAACATATCTGACCCTTAGAGCCAGTTCAACTTCACCCCGTTTTTCCTTATCCTTACTTTCTATGTTACTATCTTCCTGCCTTGTTAGACCATAAAAGCTATAAGGCAGTGATCACCACTTGTCTTGCTTACTTTGTATGCCCCGTACCACTGGGGATAGTGCTGGAAACACAGTAAGTACTCAATAAATATTTTCTATGGGATCCAAGGAAGGACATAAGTAGAGGGAACAGAACCTTTCTATGCCAAAAATGATATTGGCCTCATGTCTACTCTAAATAGCCATGCAGTTTGACTGGCCAAAGCTGTAGTGGATGCTACTCTCATAAACAGAGCTTGTCCTGCAGGGATGAGATGAGTGTGGTGAATTCCTTATTGTTGACTCAAGAAAGACCATGCAATGAGGTGAAGCGATGATGCAAGAGAGATACGAGGTACCCAGGGTGTTGAAACCTGTTGACTTTGGGTTTACACCAGGACTCTAGGAATGAAAAAGCTTCCTTCTGGGAACCAGCAGTTAGAGTAATGGCTATGTCGCTGGATTCCCACGTAGTTGACCGCGGTTTGCGTCCCAGACCCGGTGGCTTAAAACTCACGCCGGGCGATGTGCGTGCGTGCCCAAGATCCCGAGAGGAGAATGGAGAAGGGATTGCGGTGTGACCATCCCCCCTGGGGGGTGATTTCTCGCTTTCTGTCTCTCTGTCTCTCTCTGTCTGTCTGGCGAGTGCACGTGCCCTATAGCGAAAATCTCTCCCCCCAAAAAAAGATTCCTTCTGTCGCTAGCTATGAAATAAGAGCCAAGATATCTGAAGGGCATTAATTTAGATGGTTTTTTAAAAAATTAACCATTGTACAGTTTTACAGTTTGCAATATGATTTTTTTCCTTTTCCCTGGCATGCATGAGGTGTCATTTTTAAGGTATCTTCAAAACTTGAGACTCTGTGATTAAATGACAAGATGTTTGACCTACCCCCCCTTTCCGGAGATGACCTTTGCAAATTGTTAGCTTCTTGAACAACTAACAATAGATGTATCTTTTATATGTATCTTTTATACATATATACATTTCCCACAGTGCCATCTATGGAGATTTACATATAGTATGTGCACACAGAACAAATGACCCATGGCAGTTTTTTCCCTTCCCCATCAATGTGAAATTCACAAGTGAAAGATTCTCCTTGGAAATTGGAAGAAAATGATTCCAATCTCTGATCTCAGGATTCCCCCAGGAAACCCCGTGTAGCCGAGGAAATGCTCACATTTGCCAGGTAGAGTAGTAACTGCATTCAGAGTAAACACTGGCAATCCTTTCCTGTCTTTCTCTTTCAATGAGTATCACAGAGAGGGAAGCAGGGAAAGAATCAGGATAATAGATCCTCTGCCTGGTTTCCTGGCTGAGGGAAACTTTACCCTTGACACAAACATACTAGCTTTTACTCTGAGCTAGGAATTTCAGTGATGTCGTAGAAACTATGGATTGCAGATGAATGTTTGTATTGGTTGGGAGGAATTGCTGGATTTTCAGGTCTGCTAACTGCTTGTCACCGTCAGCAAGCCTAATTAGTTAATACTAAGTATCTTTGCACTATGCACACAACCCTGGCTGGTTTTACTGGCAGCTTAAGGCAGAAGGCAGCCTCAGTGAGGAGCGTGGTGGAGTTTCTGCTGAAATTGTGGCAAGGGCTGGACAGAGGCTGTGCTCTATGGGGAACCTTGAGAATGCGTTATTTTTTTTTTTTTATTCCTCTCTCCCTTTCTCTATCATACACAAACATACATACAAAATAGTGTCTTGGTGCCTCACGACAGCCAATCGAAATCACAGAACTCTTGTTTTGAGAAGCTTGGCTCCAGCCATATGTTGTTACTCAGAAAATTTAACACCAGATTGCATCTGACTATAAATGTGACTCATTAGATTGCCCAAGGAAGACAGTGGCAAACCCAGGGAACATTTGACTTTCTAAGTTAAAAACCAAAATGGAATGAAGTAACACCTTAGTGTGAGGTTGTGTTGTAGGTCTCCAGAGCTCTGATGCTGTGTGTTCATGGCATGTCTCCAACTTGTGTGGATTTTTGCCCAATTGAAGATGCAGATATTTTCTAAAACATTCTCATTCCCCTACTATTTGGAATACAGATTTCATTCATTCTTTCTTTTTCTTTCTTTCCTTTTCTCCCTTCCTTCCTTCCTTCCTTCCTTCCTTCCTTCCTTCCTTCCTTCCTTCCTTTTACTTTCTCTCTCTCTCTTTCTTTCTTTCTTGAGAGGTTTTTGTCTTAAGGTGCATGTGCTCAAGAGAGAGACAGAGAGTGACAGAGAAGTAGAAAGGAAGAAATAACCCCCCAAGGGAGTTGACCATGCCACAGTCCCTTCTCCTCTATTCTCCTCTCAGGATTAGGGGCACACATGCACGTGTGCCCAGTGAGTTTCAAGGCACTGGGTCCAAGACTCAAACTACTGTCAACTGTATGGCAATCCAGCGACATAACCATCTGCTTGTCCCTACAGATGTCTTTTAAAAGAAATTTCAAGGTAGGCAATAGTTGGTGTGATGGACAAAGAGCAGGGTTGTGACCAGGAGGGGGACAAAGAAGAGTGGAAAAAGGGCCCTACAACAGGGCCCCAAATTCTGAGCCCTGTTCTAAGCCTATGGTAGAGGACAGCATAGGCAAGTCTCTGTCTCTCCTGGACCTTGCACTGTGTATGTGTGTGCGTGTGTGTTTTGTGTGAGTGTCTGTGTTTTCTGCATGTGTGTTTGGTTGGGGTTGGTGAAAATTAGCACAAATAAATAGGAAATAATCAGGTTGTGGTAAGTGTGATAAGGAAACTAGAATAATGTGAAATAAAGCAGCTGAAGCTGCAGGGGCTTGAGTCTACCGCCATTGAGGGAGCAGGAGGCCTTCTAGAAGAGGTGGCATGGGAAAATGCATTCCAGGAACAGGGAATAGCAAGTACAGATCCCCTAAGTCTGGGAGAAACTGAGTTTCTTTAAGGAGCAACACAAGACCCATCGTGGCTAAAGAGAGTGAGTCAAGGGAGGGAGGCTGGGTGGACGGGCCCTAAGAGGTAAAAACAGCTGTCCAGCTGAGTCTTGTAGAACATGGAAGGGTGTTGAGATTTTATTCAGAGTTCAGTGGGAAGCCATTCTAGAGGTTTAAGCAAGCGAGCTCTGGGAACTAGTTTATACTTGTACTTGGCTGTATTCCTCATGCTCTTTTTTTAGGTATATTAGCAACAGAGGGATTAGGATCTCAATGGAGACTTTTAAAGAGGTCATCTGCATAGCAAATACTTGGAAGTGGCTGCACAGAGTGTGCGTTTGTGAGAGTGGGCCTGCCCATGTAGGTGAGAAATGCAAACCACGCAGAGATGAGTCCGAGATGGGGTACCTGAAAGCCCTCAGCCTTCACAGCTGCCTTCCTAAGATGATTCTCTAAACAGGAAGCAAAACTGCTTCCACATGACTCTGGAGTTTTTTTCTCCTATTTCCCCTTCCTAGGAATGTCAGCCATCCCAGAGCTCAGGCTGTGTCTAACACAGTCCCCTGTGTGTCTTCCTACCCACAGTAACAAAGGCATGGAGCATCTGTACAACATGAAGTGCAAGAACGTGGTGCCCCTCTATGACCTGCTGCTGGAGATGCTGGATGCTCACCGCCTGCACACCCCAGCTGGCCGTGCAGGGGTGCCCATGGAGGAGATGAACCAGAGCCAGCTGACCACCACGGGCTCCACTTCGTCGCATTCCTTGCAAACATATTACATCACCGGGGAGGCCGAGAGTTTCCCCACCACACTCTGAGAGCTCCCCAGTGCCCCCAAGGCTCTGAGAATCCCTGCAGCATTTTACCCACATTACGCATCACGTTAGCAGAATTCTGTCTCCTGCATACACTCCAGCATGCATCCGTCACCAGTGGCTTTCGAATATGAGTGGCCATTCATTTGCTTGCTCAGTTCTTAGTGGCACATCTTCTGTTGGGAACAGTCAAAGGGATTTCAGGGCTAAATCTCTGTAACAGCCCTCCTTTTCCCTTTGCTTCCAGGATTCCTGTAGCATAGGGATTCCTGTAGCTCCTCATGACTGAACTCAGTCTGTGAGCTGGAGCCCAAATGACTCTGTGCATTTAAGCTATTTGTTGAGATCAAGGCAGGAAGAGTAGACATTTCAGCTTTGATAAGCACTTTTCAATGGCTCTAAGAATAAGCCACAGGGAAGAATTTAAAGTGGCTCCTTTAATTGCTTGGGGAAAGCCAAGGCAAGGGTTCATTTAGCATCCTCTTGTATTCCTATAGTCACAGATGATTTTATTAAAGTGATACCTTAAAGGTATCACTTTGTTGCATGGGTATAGCAGGGTTTTCAGTGGTCATCTGTTTGCTTTTCCTGTAGGAATACAAGATGAACACAAGAAGGGAAGTCCCCTAAATGTCAAGACTATGTAATTTTATAACTTGCACCTTCAGGCTTGCTGAAAATTCAACTGGTTTTCCAGAGCACTACTTATGAGTCATGGGTTCTAGTTAATTCTTATTCCCATGGGGCTATGGAAAACAGCAAGTTGATTTCAGTCAAGTCACTTTCCTAAATATCAATCTCCCTCTACAAGGGATAAATTTTTGTTTATTTGTTTGTTTTGTTTTGTTGATTTTGCCATAGGGCTTGTGCATTCTCCAGAGAGAGAGAGAGAGAGAGAGAGAGGGTAAGTGGGAAATCACCCCCAGGGGGGGATGGTCATGCCACAATCACTTCTCCTCCATTTTCCCCTGGGGATTTGGGGCAAGTAGGCACATGTGCTCAGCATGATATCCAAGCCACTGGGTCCTGGACTTGAACTGTGATCAACTATGTGGGAGTCTAACACATTCGCCATCATGCCATCTGCCGGCCCCAGGGATAAGTTCTTTTTTGTTTATATATTCATTTTGTTAAAATTTTTTTTAAAAAAGCCTTTCCCCCCAGGACTTGCAGTAAAACTGACTCTGGGACCTGTTCTGGTGGGGTCTCCCATTTATCAACAGAGGGTCTACTTGGATCTTCCCAGTGTGTGGCTTACACAGAAGGGGAGTTATTCACATGTGATGCCCAGCTCTCTGCCCAAGGGCATTTGAAATGAGTGGTACCCTGCTGATACTGTTAGCCCTGAGGCTAAAGACTCAATGTGAATGCTCATTGTGGCTACTAGAGAATGAGAAGGAAAGGAGAGAGAAACTGGATAACACTGTGAGACACTGTCAGCCTTACTCAGGGTGGCCCTGCCACAAGCTGCAGCTCCCCGGGGAGGGCTCCTTGAAGGCTGCCCATGGCACTGTGGGGCTGCCTGGGGGTCTGTGGGGTAGTCTGCCTCTTCTTCACTTCTGGTCACAGGCAGCAGCAGTGGCCAGCCACAGTGGCCTGCTGTGTCCCTCCAGTAGGCTCAGTACTCTGAGGCAGGGAGGAGGGCAGGGATTGGAGCACTCACTGCTCAGGCTGCCTGAAGCCTGACCAGACCACACATGGCCTTGGTTGTTTAGAGCTCATCTAAAAGTCAGGATTCGGCCTTGAGAAGAAGATTCCCCTCCCAGAGCTTGTTTCATTAACCTTCATAAGCCAGGAGAACAAGACAAGAACCGGACCACAGGAATCCTTTGACCTATACACTAAAAGAGAAAGGCTCATCCCAGCCCAGGGCAGCCTTCCCTGGGCTTTTGCTTCCCTAGTTCAATTATGGGTTATTTCCTTTTCTTAACTAAAAAGAAAGTCTGGTTTCCTCTGGTGACCTCATTGTGATCCGAACCCCTTTGAGGTGATGTATTAGTCACCACCCTATTTGCAAAAGTGAATTTCATTGATTTCTCATTGCCCACTTACATAGTCACCAAAGGACTAGGAAACTGGGAGGGCCAAAAGAGTTGTTTTGTTTTTTCTTTTTATATATATATGTGCAGTAAATTTGGGGACAATATGGTGTACCTGCGTTAAGAATATGTTTAAGAACATAAATCTTTTGTTGTTATTTGTTTAAGAAGCACCTTATAAAGTATAATATATTTTTTTTGAAATTGCATTGCTTGTTTTTCAGACAATTGAATGTAGTAATTCTGTTCTGAATTTAATTTGACTGGGTTAACACACAAACCAAGGAAAATATTTACTTTTGTTTCTTTTTTGGTATACTTTTCAAGCTACTTTGTCATGTATGCAGTCATTAATGCCTAAAGCCTAGTGATTATTCATTTAAATGAAGATCACATTTCATATCAACTTTTGTATCCACAGTAGACAAAATAGCACTAATCCAGATGCCTATTGTTGGATATAGAAAGATAGACAATCTTATGTAGCAAAGATTATGCCTGAAAAGGAAAATTATTCAGGGCAGCTAATTTTGCTTTTACCAAAATATCAGTAGTAATATTTTTGGACAGTAGCTAATGGGTCAGTGGGTTCTTTTTAATGTTTATACTTAGATTTTCTTTTAAGAAAATAACAAAAAACAAAAACAAACAAAAAAAAACTTTAGAACTATAGGTGATATAATACCAGCTAAATCCAAACAATAATATGTTGGAGGGTTTTGCATTATTCTTCTGATGTATTTGTATTTGTGCTAAGGAACTACTACATGTGAAGTGGGTAGAGAACATCAGATGGTTGAAATGTTAGCCCAGGAGTCTCAAACAATTTTGGAAATCTCTTCGTATTCGTATTTGAAGTGCCACTAACGAGCAGCTGGCATTCTCCAGCTGATGTTGCTTTCGGGTGTTGAAAATGTAGACCTACTGCCTGTGTTTTACCCCCACTCTGAGGCAATTTCAAGTTTGAAAGACACGATACACTGAGGGTGGGGGGTTGGAGTAGGGTGGGGAGGGGGTTTAGGAATATAGAAAATGGGAAACATAATAGTCAGAGTATTGAAAATATTTTGAGGCAGATCGATTCTGATGTCTTGGGCGTGCACCAGGGTTCAGAATTCTACTTCTGTCCTGTAAAGCACAAATGACTGGCCCTGCTTGAATTCTAGGGACAAAACAATGGCAGAAGTAGGAAAGTCTAATTAGTAGCTAGTGGTCTGTGTTTCTTTTAGCCTTTTCCTAGCCTGCTGTGATGATTCTGCGAAGCTGTCATACAGCAGTGAGAGAGGCTAGGTTGTCCAAAGAGAAGACCCTATCCATGTAGGTTGCAAAATCTAGCCCCTAAGGAGTACAGTCTTCATGAGATTTTTCTAGTAACCTTGCAAATATGTTTCACCAGGCCATATCCCCTGCCTCTTGTGGGCAGAACAAATAAGGGACTTACTGACATTTTACTTTCACCACATTAAGGTGTTCTAACATTGACATCTTATGCATAGAAATGACCTTTGGTTTAGAGTACCCCTACCCTTACATGACACCAATACGAACCCCTTCCCTTTCCTGCTTTCCAACTACTGGATGGACTGTGGATACTGGGAGTAGTCACTAGGACTGCAGTAAGGTCTAATACTCCCAGGCAGATTTGCCTGGGGAATTGAGCTGTTTGAAAGGTAAATAGAGTCACATAGAAGCTCAAGAGGCAACCATAATTCTTTGTGCAGATTTTAGGAGGTTGATTCAGATGACCCCTCATACCTTCTAGATTAACCCCCTAAAAACTTACTCTCCACTGGAGCAAATGAATTTAACTGTGGTCCCAAATATTCCTCTTTTCAGTAGTGTGATTATGCTCTGTTTCGAAGTGCATTTCCTTTCCATTTGAATTAAAGTGTGGCCTCTTTTTAAGTCATTTAAAATTGTTTTCTAAGTAATTGCTGCTTCTATTATGGCACTTCAATTTTGCACTGTCTTTCAGAGATTCAAGAAAAATTTCTATTCTTTTTTTTTGCATCCAATTGTGCCTGAACTTTTTATATATGTAAATGCTGCCATGTTCCAAACCCATTGTCAGCGTGTGTGTACAGAGCTGTGCACCCTGGAAACAACCCAGAGTCCCATGAACAGGTGCCTGAGACACGGACCCCTCTGCAGTCACAGAGAGGTCACTGGTCATAGAGACTTGAATTAATAAGTGACATTATGCCAGTTTATGTTCTCTCACAGCTTATAAACAATGCTTTTTGTGCACTACATATTCTTCAGTGTAGAGCTCTTGTTTTATGGGAAAAGGCTGACATGCCAAATTGTGCTTGATGGATTAATATGCACTTTTGCTGACGCATACTCTTATTATTGATGTGATTTTGTTTTGTCGCAGCTTTGCTTTGTTTAATGAAATACACTTGTAAACCTCTTTTGCACCTTAAAAACAAAGAATCCAGCGGGATGCTCGAGCACCTGTAAACAATTTTCTCTACCTATTTGATGTTCAAATAAAGAATTAAACTGATGACAACAGATCTGGGTTTTTGTTTGTTTGTTTGTTTGTAAGTTCTGCTTCTTGCTAATGGTACACCACTGAGCCCCTAAAATCAAAGCGATTGGAACACTGACCATAGTGAGTCTCCCTTCCTTCCCCTTCCACCCCTCTTCCTCCCCAGTTTGTGAGGAAATGTGTGAACACTGAGGTCAGGCAGACCTGACCTCAATTCTTCCTTCACCACATACAGGAGTTATGATCACTGGCAATTGATGTGTAGAGCTTCTGCTTCCTTAACAACTGGGCGATAACACCCAATTCACCGAATGGCTGTGGGGAATGAAGGAAATGCTGATTAAGACGGTAGTAGTTTTCTAATGCCCAGTCGCAATCCCTTCTCTGTGAGGGAGAAGAAGGAAGGTTGGGAGTAGTTCTTTATGAATGAATGAGTGGATGAATGATTAGAAGCTTATATAATGAGCTCCAAAGCCTCTCTCTCATCGTGAAGGCAAAGCAGGAACAGCTGGTCTACTCCCACCCTACCTTCCCATTTCAGGACTCTCCTCCCTTTTCAGAAATATCTCTCTATTTCTTTTTACCTTTTTTTCTCTGTACTTACAGAGATGAATTGGAGAGGGAAGTGGCCTTTTCGATACACACCTGTTCTGATCCAGATTCCTCAGATTGCATCTTCCCACTTTACCATTTGTTGTGTGACCTTGGGCAAGTCAGTTGGCTTCAATTCCTTTATGTGTGAAGACAGATCATTGAAGAGTTGTTGTGAAGACAACTCGGCCAGCATTTAAGGATGGTGGACCCGCCCATTGCTAAGTATGGACTCATTTCTTTATTAGTGTGCTTTTAGGTTCTTCATTCTGTTTGAGTCATTTAGATTCCAAGAAACTATTTTATTTTCTTGTTCAATCATCCCCTAGACAAGTTCAATCCCCAGTTTTCTTGATTTCCTCATTTTTAAAAAATAATTATTTAATTTATTATTTAATTTGACCAGAGAGTGAGAGGGAAAGTGAGAAAGCAAGCTACCAGGTCCAGAATTTGAACTATGGTAGTCCACGTGGGAGTCCAGCACCTTACCTGTCATGCCATCTGCCAGCCCTGATTCCCTCATTTTTGAAATGGAGAAATCCCAACTCATAGGAGTACTGGGAGGATGAAAAGAGGCACCTGTGGGGCCTGCAGGTGGCTTAATGGTTAAGGCACTGGACTCCCACATGATCAACCATGGTTCAAGTCCCAGACCCAGCAACTTGAAACTCATGCCAGGGGTGTGTGGCTGTGTGTGTGTGTATGCTCCCAATCCCAAGAGGAGAATGGAGAAGGAATTGTGGTGTTGCCATCAC